TTCCTTATTAATGGCTTTAACAGGCTGGGGGGGGCACAGGACACTGGAGGAGGAGCAAGGGGCAGCAGTGTGCCTATTAGTCTCTCTTGCATGCACATGAGGCATGGGGGGTGGGGGAAGAGCAGGTTTTCCATGCACATGGCCAAGAACATGATTGTGGAAGGGCTGAGCTATGTTCTTAGTCCAGGAGGAATTGGCAAGCAGGTTTGGTGCCTTCTCAGGAGTTGCAGGCACTGGTCTTGCCACCATAGACTCTGATGTTGTCCCACCACCCAGCTTGATGGGAATGGACAAAGCAGCAGCTCCGGGGTAGTACCCAGGATAGTGCCACCATTCTGCAGCATCTTGCTTGTTGGCATCCACTCCAGATGACCATGGGGTGGGAAAGGCCTGGCTAGGTCCCAGAGCACCAAAGTGATCTCAAAGGCTGCAATGTACCTGACTGGCACCATCCCAGTCAATGATGTTGCCTGTAGCAGCAACAAAGTTGCTAGTAGAGGCAGTCAGCAGGTCCACAGACATAGAGGTCTCCTCTTTGCGCTTCTTAGCATGTTTGTGTTGACACTTGCTGGGTCAGTTTGCATTCTTCAAGTGTTTGAGATCAAGTGCATTGTGACAATGGATCTGGCCTTCATGTACAGCATACTGTGCTTGCGTGCAGGGAGAGGACACTTGCTTCAGGATCTGCAGTTGTTGCTTGACCCAGGCATCCATCAAACACTCATCAGCAGTGTTGACGGTGTGAAAGCGGAGCATTGGCATGTCATCACACAACAGTGTTTTGCAATGTGCTTCAGGAACAGTGTTGTACAGAATGCTGACAAATTACATGTCCAGGGCCGATTGAGGGGAGTGAAGGTGTAATTCCTTATGTACTGTGCCAACACAAAGTTCGCAATGCCAAGAAGGTTGTGCACTTTGCACTGGGCAATGAGCCAAATTCTCTCAGCTTGTTCAAAAGACATTCGCATCTGGAAGAGTTGCCAATTGATGGCACAACACCAACTATCCACAAACTCTTTGTAGAGTTCCTTGACTTTGTGGTTTGGTACAGAAGCAAGGTTCTCCAAAAGATGGTGCTGCAAGTACATATGCATGGCCTTGAGATGTTCAACCCATTGCAGATGAATGATTCCAGATTCATGCATCTTCAACAGCATGGTTGAAAAAGCTTTGTGGACCAGGATCACCCAATGAACTTTTGCGCTGAGGAGATCTGCAGGTGGACCTTCACAATAAGGGTGGTGGGGATGTTTCAGGTCCCATGCCATGGCATAAACTGTCCAGTCCTCTGTGGAACATGTCCACAAATCACATTCATGCTGGTTGACATCCCAGCACAGGTCACAGGGTTTGATGCCTTTCCCCTCCAGAAGGTGTTCCATACCACCTTTCCATGTCTTTTTGTTGTTGAGGAGTGAGGACTGGGACATCAAATTTTAGGAGGGAGAGCTGTTCAACCAACAATAGGGAAAGTCAAAATCCATCTCAACAGCTGCTGATGAGGGTCAGTTCCAAGCTGACAGGTGTCTTGTGTGGGGCCACTAGGAGCTCATTGACTGTTTTGGTGGAAGGGGGATATGGTGGAACTGAGAATGATCAGGGTATATACTGCACATGCAGCATAATGTTACTCACTGAGGTTCTTGTCCATACCCATTGCTCCCAACAGGGCATGCATCACAGAGTTATCATCGATATCTATCATATTGTGATGTCAGTAAGATGAGAATGTATACACTGAAGGCAAACTCACCATCATCTTGTGACTCCTCAACTCTTGACAATGTCTTCACATCTTCTGCACAAGTAGGTGCATTGTGGAAGCCCTTCACTGTGGTCACAAATACCATAGCAGATGATGACAAGTGCTTGGATGCAGCTGAAGGGTGTTGAGGATATCAAAGGGAGTAGTTGGGAGGAAGGAAAGGTGGTCAGTGAACACTGTAATTGGTAGTTCACTTGAGAGGGGTATGACACTCATTTTCTTCATGCACATACAGCTACTTAGAGCACCTGAGTAGTGCTTGCAGAGGACTTGGTTTGGGGAGGAGGGTAAGGAAGAGCATCATCTTGCACACTAGTCAAAAACCTCAAAGCCAAGACACCTGGTACTCCGTGTGTGTCTGGCACCAGAGCTGTCCCTTGTGAAAGGTACACACTCTGGGAGGGGGGGAAAGGGGAGGGGAGGGGAA